ATCTTAAGTTCTAATAACTCTAATACACTTCCAAAGTTCAGTCTTACAAGTTTGTTTCAGATTTTCTGCATCCCACAATCAAAACATTCCCAGACAGATTCAGTGATGTTGAGGTCTGGCCTTTGGGGACAGTGGTCAGTTCATTGGTCTGAGAACACCAGTAGCTTTTCATTTTGATTTTCACATTTTCTTGGTCCTTCCGTACTCACAGCGTTGAGATTTCTTCGTGTAGTGGAAGGAGTTCTGTCCTATACAGTGCTTGTTTGAAAATGCCTGCTGCCCTTTACATTGTGTGTAAATTTCCATTGACTTACATGAAGTCAACAGTGGTATATTAGCAGTTTCATAAGTATGTATTCTGTAATGTAATATGTCTGCACAATCTGTGCCTGATATGCACATCATTTTTCAAAATTTCCCTCCAATGGTGGTTATAGGAAGCAGTGGTCACAAATGTAGCTATTTTTTTACCGTCCAGTGAACCTACACAAGTCTTCTGAGTTGTTATATGTAATGTTGATACTGGTAAAATAGCGGTAAATATGAAAAAAAACACCATATCTTCTTAATATTTTGGCTTATGAGGCCTTGCGCTTATGTCTCTGCAATGGATAGATTTTATAAACTATGTTTTATGGCAAAACATAAAACATTTTAGAGGTGGACATCTGGTTCCTATCACCACCACTGTGAACAATCCTGACTCAGTTTCTCTAGAACAGAGCATTTCACGTCAAACCACTCTGAATGACTTTGTTCACATCCTAACCATTAAATTACACAGAAATTTAAAAAGCTGGTGGAATTCCCCTTTTAGTCGCTTTACTGGAGAGCGCAACACTAAAAAGCGAAACAAATGAAATTATATATTGATTTTGACAGTCTTAAATAGGGGTTAATATGGAACATTTTTAACTTTCTGAAAGCACAATGAGCTGCTTAATGGTCCCCGCTGCACTGCAGAGCGGCGCTCAGATTTGTCAAGGTCAATTAATGAACACAACTTAAAGCCCCATGTAAATGCTCGCACCCCCTCGGGGCTCATGAATTATACAGCAAACACGCGAAAGCACATCATCTGATATCTTCCAATTAAGCCCATACAAGCAGACTGTCTGACGGCCCTTACGCAAGCCTGTATTCTCCACTAAACTTGTAATGGAAATTGTTGACAGGGGAGCGATATTGTACGAGGTCATGTGACTGCTCAGGCTTGATGGATACAGCTGGTCCATCTCTTCCTGAGCAGAGCGATCCCTCCACCTTTAAAGGGCCCATCCCTGCACTTTTCCTGTATGTTGTTTTTGCTCTTCGGATCATTCGCAACAACTGTTTGCATTTATGTACAAAAATGGTCATAATTCATTTTTTAACACCTTGTGCGTGATTCACACATGCTACCTTTGCGTGGCGTGAGTGATGCGGCAGCGTGGTCTTTCATATATACGTGGTCTTGTGCTGTGGAGTGAGAAAGTTATACAGACATTCCTTTTTCCAGACAGATAAATAGTCAATAAGTCACTCTGCTCTATAAAAATATAATTTATAAAAGAGCACACTTTGTTTGTTTATCCTTGACAGCAGTCTGACATGTGATTAGGCAAGTTTCAAGCCTGGTAGACCAACTGGGAAACAAAACGTTTAACTGTTATTTTGTCATGAATTAAATTCCATTTAAAAACAGCATTTTTTAAGTTTGTATGTTGTTTTCTGTTCAATTCTCATTGATTTTCATGAATATTTCAGTGTACTTTGCTGCTTGATGAAAAAATTGGCATCTGGTCTATTTTCAAAATACTGCGCCACTTCAGTGTGGTGTCTGGGATGCTCTGCCGCTTTGCTTGTGCAGCCTGTGTGAAAGCACTGACCAGTTAACATGGGCGCCGAAATGAAAAGCAAGACTTGTAAATCAGGCCTTAGAATTAAACAGTCTGTTTTTGTTATTGTTCCTTTAAGACTGAGCTGTCCTGTATTGAGCTTCACTCAAACAGCACTTGGAGCTGAAACACTCCTTATAACTTCAGCGTGAATGGGCGGGGCTAAACTGCTATAGGCTGAATAGGTGGATATATGTAAACGAGTCTGTTCTTCTGACATCACAAAGAAACAATGAATTCAAAATGCAATATAGTTTGCATATATGGGCTGGGTAATGAATGGTATGTTTTGAAACTTTAATGATGTTTACATACTACTTAAAGCACAATATTCAATTTTCCATGATATGGACCCTTTAAAGGAACAGTCCAATGATAAAAAAAAATAAATAAATAAATAATAACAAAAACCTCATATTTTCATTTTTTCCTGAGTTTTCAGAGCTTATATTATAATATTTAATATTAAATATCATTTATAAAATATATTAAAAATATATGCTCAGCTAATATTTTGATGGGTTTTTTTAATATAAGCTTATGAAATAAATTACAGAACAAACTTATCTCACAGGCTTCCACATGGCATAGAACTACATTCATTTTGCATTCAAAATAATCATAAAAACTGGAAGGCAGCACAGCTATTTGATTACATTATGTTGTAGCATTAGCTCTGCACTGGAATTTCTAAACTCACCTAAAATCTCTAAGCCCCAAGATTGAACGTGAGAGATAAGATAATTTTTGTCTTTATTTAGAAGCTCACATTTTCACAAAAACTGCTGTTTCTTATTTCACTCCATTTTTTAATAGTAACTTGTTACCTATTAGCATGACGTACTATCTAACGTCAGTTAGCTGTATTCCTCCACTACGGAAGGCATCACTACCCAAAACATTCAAAACAAACGTGCAGCTATAAAAGCCGAGTTATAAGATTGCATGTGCCAGGTTTTTATTAGGTTTTACCACAAAGCGGTACCTATTGTAAGGGCATTGTGTTGTAGCATTAGCGCTAAACCAGGGTTTCTAACTCACGAGAAGTTGATTTTTATTTTAATTTAGAAGCACACACTTCACAAACACAGCTAAGTGTTTTTTATTCACTTCGCTGTTTTTTTATATTAAATTGTTGTTCACCTGTTACCATAGCTGCACTAGCTATAGAGGACAGCACATCACTTCCCACAACATTTAAAACAAATGTGCAGCAATAAAATAGTCCCAGCCGAGTTATAAGATCACACATGCCCTGTTTTATTTATCTTAATTTACAAGTACATGTTTACGATTTCACTACTGAAGCTGAAAACATCGACAAATGTCTTTATCCCTCTTTCTCTGTTTTTTCTGGCAGCAGCATGTCAAAATTTTGACATTGCATCTTTAATTTATGACTTCTTTTTTCACAATTATGACTCATGTCAAAGTGATGACTCGCTTTCTCAATATTTTTACTTACTATGTCGAAGTGATTACTTATTTTCTATAAAAATATAGACTGACTGTTAAAACATGATAAAAAGTAAGCAACTATTTCTAGTTACCAGGTCGTTGATTCAAGATATCAGGTTAGAATTGTGAGAAAATAATTATTTTGAGATACTAAGTCAAAATATTCAGAAAATATGTCATAATTTCAACATTGAGAAATCACTGTTTTGACATAATTACATATAATTGACAAAATAATAAAATGTAATGTTTTTTTCTCTTTCATGAGGTGGAATTGCACTAAAAACTGAATCAAGAAGGATGTCTAACTTACAAACTGAAAACATCAACATTAAATAAATTGTTTGCGTTGTCTTTCAGTAACTAGTTCACAAACAATGAACATTTCAAAAAAGTAATGTATTTATATTATGTTGTATTTCTTTATGAGGTCGGTTGATATATATGTAAGGGTTTTAACGGCTGACAGCAAGAAAACGTGTTTTGAATCTTCAACCTTGCTGTACTTTAATAAGGATTAGACTCAAACTTGGTTCAAAACTACGTAATTAGAGTGAAATTCAAAGAAAAAAACTAAAAAAAATTGATATATATTTACTGCAATTTTTACTAAAACTGTTCAACAAGTGGTTTACTGGTTGGAAAACCTCTTATCTACCTGCTTTGGAGAGCTCACCTTGTCTCATTCAGCTGCATCAGGCGCTGCTGTCTCTCCCTCAGCGACTGTGGCGGCTTCTGGAGCTAATAGAGTAAGTTTTACAGGTCAGCTGCTGGGCTGAGGCTAACTTTGTTTGGTTATTATCACAGAAACATTACCTGTTCTTTAAAAACCTGCATTGAATCAAATCCTGTATTTCTTTTTTAGCTCGTGCTTCTTATAAACATGCCTGCCAATGTAGCTAGCTAGCTAATCGCCAAAGATATGGCTAACAGCTAGTAAGCTAATGTTACTACAACATATTTACCTCTTGGCACTTTAGACTCACCTGTTTTCTGAAACGGGTTGTTTTTGCTGTTATTTTATTGCTTTCTGGTTCTCTTCTACCTCCCAAACTCAATCCTGAGTTTAGTTTCGTTTTAACCGGTCAGAGTTGGATCAGCAACTAACGGTCGACCTGCGGATCAAACCACTTTGATTTTTCAGAAGGGGGTGGCAAGGATCAAGGAAACAACAGTGGATAAGCAGAGCTTATGATGGAAGACGCAGTCATGTATTATTTATTTCTAGAATATCAGAAAGTATCGAAATTAGAAAGCAAAATTAATTTATTCGCGAGGCTTTTGATCCCCCTCCCCCCAAGTTGGGCCCTGGTTAGTCAGGTCCATCAATAACCGCCGGTTAGCGGCTACTGACGGACTCTGTTCGACTGAAGGGAAATTATGTGCTGGAAAAATTAAATTAAGTTCATACAGTGAGTTATTTTTGGGAGCCTGGGCTTCAATACAGTCCACAAAAACAAAAAAGTGGTTAAAAAAGTAGAAAAGTGACCTTTTCGCAAGAAAAGCGCCGGACTATTCCTTTAAGGCAAGGACGAAGGAGAGCAGCCGCAGAGGAGAGAGAGAGAGAGAAAGAGAGAGAGAGAGAGAAAGAGAGAGAGAGAGAGAGAGAGAGGTGGGGGGGTTATTCCGCCCTGCTCAGAGCTGAAGGGGGCTGAGAGAGAGAGAGAGAGAGAGAGAGAGAGAGAGTGAGTGAGTGAGTGAGGAGCAGTGTGATCGGTGCAGCAGAGGGGAGGAAGATGCTGGTTGCCTGCTGCACGCGGCTGAACGCAGGTAGCGAAGAGGGACTCACCGCGCGCAGCTAACGACCACCGCTCCGCCTCTGCTCCGCATGCACGGCTGCTGCCTTTCAGCTACGTCCCTTTTTTTCTTTTTTCTTTTTTTTCTTTTTTTGCCACCACTTTTTCTCCTCTCTTGATTTTTTTCGTCTTTTTTTTCCAGGAACAAAAAAAAAGTTTTGACATGATCGTGACCGGCGCGTGCTTGGAGTGCGCGCGAACGGATTAACTTGCATATTTTTTTTTCTTCCGTCTTTCTTTTTTTTATTACTTTGCTTTGCATGACACGGAGGCACGTGAAGTGCTGCAGCTGCGCGAGGCTTCATCGTGCTGGAGAGCGAGAGAGAGAGAGTGAGAGAGAGAGAGAGAGAGAGAGAGAGGCAGACTGGTACTGCTACACATGCGCGTGCTGTAACCCCATAAACCGAAGACGCTAAAAACCTGCAGGAAAAGAAAAAAAAGAGAGAAAATTGAAACTTTAAGGAGAAAAAAAAGTGCACGGTGGGTGGCAAGAGGACGAAATCTTGGCTGGGGGGATTGAAAGGAGCGGGGCATGAGGATATTGGCCATCATCTTTTTCCAGTGCATCTTGAATGGTGAGCTCATTTGTCCTTTTTTCCCCATTTTTGTTGAAATTTTATTGGTGTGAAATTGAAAGGGAGAAGCTGCTCGTGCTGCATGCTGCTCCAGTTTCAGTGCACACGAGCTCTAAGCACCCCGAGCACGTCCATAAAGGTGAATTGCATTTAACTTTGGTGAAATGCATTTAACTTTGCATCATTTTGCATATTTTTCTCCCCTCCTTTTAGGCTCAAATTGAAAATCCAATTTTTGCTTACCCACAATGCAGCAAAGCTGTTTGCTAGTGCATGTTTTCATCTGAATTCTTGCTTGCGTGGTGTGAAATGGGAGAAAAAGCCTTTGCGAAATCCCTCTTTTTTCCTTCTGAGCACCTAGAGCTAAATTGAATTTGGCAGAAATCATTTTAACCTTTCATTTTGGGCCCTGTTTGTTTGTTCTTTTTTTTTGCAAGGTTCTAGATTGTGCATGATTATGCAAATTGCACTTGTCAATACGTTCTGCTGTTAAATAAATGATAAAATAGTGTAAATCAAGGCTGTTGGTACACATTTTAGTCTCTTACTTTTGGCCTCTGGGAAATTGCAAATGCACTGCAGGTTGTAGTAGAGAATTAAATGTGCTAATTTCAATAATTTAATAAATTGCATTAAAGCACTAGTGCACTGTGTGGGACAGTAAAAATGCATTTAATTTGTGAGGGAAAAAAAATGCAACAAATGGCCAGAAAAGTGACCCAAACCGTGCTCTCCGGATGAAAATAACAACCGCTGGAAAAAAAAAAGGAAAATTTCTGTTTTTATGGCGTCACATGCGCCATGTTGCAAGTAGAAATGGTGAACCGTTGAAGGGGGGCAAAAAATTCCCAATGCAAAATCCTAGTAAGCACTTCATCATTATTGATTGTTTATTCATTTATTTATTTGTTTGGGACCAAATCTTGATTTTCCCGAATGCGAATCCCAGTGACCTCCCCGAGCTTCGGGCGAACGCTCGACAAACAGGCGAAATGTGGCCGTGGATTTAAAATGGAGAGACATTGAGAGAGGGGTGCCTGGTTGCTGGGCTAAATCAAGAAGGGTGTGTATGGTGGGGTGGGGTGGGGTGGGGGGTAAGGGAGGGTAAAGGGGGGGGTGGGATGGAACCAGGGAGAAAATGGGGGCATTTAGGAGATTTTTATAGGGAGAATGGATGTAGGACGGTTTTAAAGACGGTGATGGCGATGCATCAAGTGAAGATGACAGGAAAACCATTTTGTGTGAGGGCTGGAGTGGCGGACGAAAGCAGTGGTTGTTTAGCACAAAGGATGTAGCGTAGCGATGATGGACACGTGTGGAGAGGCGTCTTTTCCGCCTTTAAGCCTCCACGTTCAGAGAAATGTCCATGTCTGGTGGTCACATTTCATTTCCTCTGTTTCCATGCAGGTCTATGAATTGGGGTTTTGCTATTGACATAATGGAATGGACATAACGGTCAATTGATCATCGTTTTAGTGACGTTTCATTGCAGGGGAAGGACTACCTGTGCTCAAATGAGGGCTTTAAAACAAAAAAAAAACATTCAAACTGGGTCCATTTGATCAATAGAGCTCCATTTGTACCGTTCCATTTACTCCGAAGGCACGTTAAGAGTTAATTGTTCTATTTTTTTTCCTCTTTTTTGCGGTCGACGGCCTGCGCCGCTGTGCCTCCCCGGAGTGTGCAAGCCTACTGTAGATGCCTTACAAAATGCAGCTTTCATGATTTGGCTGAGTACACAGCCCACTCCTTGCATGGTCTCTATGGAAACCCCTGTAATGGACGATGGATGGTGCAGTGGCTCTTGTGTTGGCGAGGCTGCGGTCCGCGGCAGGTGACCCCGGAAGTGCTACAGCGCGCGCAGACCTTCAGTTTGACAGAGATTTCCGGTTTACAGGGAAAATATTCACTGCAGAAGGTCACACACTTGTTTGCAAACATGTATAATAAAACTGGCCGATAAGGAATGTTAAATTTTAATACAATCACATTATATATATATATATATATATATATATATATACATATAAATATATATATATATATATATATATATGGAAAATGAATTTATGGGGGTTTCATTTGTGAGCGTGCATTGCCTTTAAATCAGAATGATGATGTAGTTTCAATGGCTTTGTATTGGGGTGAAATATTACTATGAGATCGCCTTAATCAGAGTGATTAAAGGGCTCATATTCTACAGTGTATTTTATTTTTTCCCCTGAGGTCAGTTTAAGTCATCGCTTAAACTGACTTGAATTTAAATTCAATTTAATTGATTTAATTAATTTTGAAAATTCAGGTTTATTTTTAAATTATTAAATTGGATGTCATTGTTTCCATACCCAAAAAAAAGAAAAAAAAATACGGTCCATATGCTACAATATTAAAAAATATATTATTTAGGCCAATTTCTGACATTTGTGAGGGTTTACACACCAAAAACGGTCATAATTCATTTCTTCATGACCATTTTTCAACCTCTTTTTATGCCTTAGGCTCTTGTCGTCACTGTGCCTTTAAGACTGATATGTAAATGAACTCTGTTCTGATTGGCTGCCCTGCCTCATACAGAAAACGAGAAAAGAAAAAGTCCAGGCTGAAACACTCAAAACTTCAGGGTGAATGGGTGGAGCCAAACTGCTGTATGCTGAATAAATGAGTATATTTATATGTGTTGGACTTGTGACTTGTTGGACCCAATGAATTCAAAACAAGCTGTTTTGATATATGGAGGAGGTGAATAGTAAGATTTAAGACCGTGTTTCCATAGTATGTCACACTCATAGTAAAAAAAAAACAAGTAAAATGTGTTTTTCCATAGTATTGGCCCTTTAATTAACATCACTGGTTATGTATTAAGTATGATTAAGTAATATTATCTCCTTTTAGAATCAAATTCTCTTGCACTAATCACGCTGATGTGATTTCTTTTGCCCAATTTTGCCACTTTTCCATCTATTCCATCAAGAGGTGCTTTTGAATAGGATGTTCCCCATGTAACAGGGCTGTTTTCACGCTCCATTGGACTGCAGTGTGTTTCCGAGCGCTGCTCCGTGGTGTTGGACAGCCGAAGCTTTTGCATGTAATATCGCGGAGAGTTGTTTTGAAGGGCTCTTCTCCGTTTGGAGTGCCCTCGCCGCTGTGTCTCGATTAAAACGCAGCCCTAATTGGGACAACAAGCCTCATCCTTGGAGAGACGGCCGGGCTAACGGGGGATGATGATGTTTTTGCAAGGTGGCGCCACGGGGCAAATCTGATGCACACTCAATTGGACACTAATAAGCAGTGCAAATATAGGGCAGAGCCTCAGACGGGCAGCGCACTGCTCTGATGTACGATAAGAGAACGTTTAGCTGAAGCCATTAGAACTGGCTGAGGTGCGTTAACGTTACGGCTGCACGATACAAGCGAAGTGATAGTATTGAGGTTAGATTTCTAAATATCACAATAAATGTTGTTGCTAAATGAAAATCGCAGAACTGTTTAACAGTTTAACAGTTTACACTCTTAAAGAGATGGTTCTTCAAAGGTTCTTTAGTAAAGGGAATGTTTCTGTTTAGAACCATGTGTTCTGTATTCACTCTTAAAAAGGTGGTTCTTCAAAGGTTCCTTAGTAAAGGTAATGTTTCTATTCAGAACCATGTGTTCTGTATACACTCTTAAAAAGGATGGCTCTTCAGGGGTTCTTTAGTAAAGAAAACGTTCTACATAGAGCCATGAGCACTCATCAAACCCTTTGCACGATCAAAGGGTTCTTTTATGGAGAATGTCATGTAGATGGTTCTATATAGCACCAAAAAGGGGTCTCCTATTATGATGTCAAGCTTGTACCAATAGAAGAACCCTGTTTGGTGCTATATAGAACCCTTTTCCAAAAGGTTCTAAATAGAACCATCTACAGCACATGCTCCATCATTCTGAAGAACTCTTGCATGATGCAAAGATCCCTGTGATCATACAAAGGGTTCTTTGAGTGTTCATGGTTCTTAACAGAACCATTTTCTTTACCAAGGAACCTTTGAAGAACCGTCTTTTTTAAGAGTGTACAGAACCCTTGAAGAACCATCTTTCATTGCGGGGGAAGGACTACCTGTGCTCAAATGAGGGCTTTAAAACGAAAAAAAAACATTCAAACTGGGTCCATTTGATCAACAGAGCTCCATTTGTACCGTTCCATTCTGAAGAACACTTTCATGATGCAAAGAACCTTGTAATCATGCAAAGGGTTCTTCAAGTGTTAATGGTTCTATATAGAACCATTTTGTTTACTACGCTCTTATAACAGATGGTTCTTCAAGGGTTCTTTAGTAAAGAAACCATTAACACCTGAAGAACCCTTTGCATGATTAAAGTGTTCTTTGCATTGTGAAAGCGTTCTTCAGTTTGATGGAGAATGTGCTGTCGATGGTTCTAGATAGCACCAAGAAAGGTTCTTCTATTTTTACAATGTAAAAACCAATAGAAGAACCCTGTTTACAGCACATGCTACATCATTCTGAAGAACGCTTTCATGATGCAGATCTTTACAGAACCATTTTCTTCACCAAAGAACCCTTGAAGAACCATCTTTTTTAAGAGTGTACAGAACCCTTGAAGAACCATCTTTTTTAAGAATGTAGAACCATTTCATGCTTAAATGGTTCTTGGCAAGGTGAGATAGTTCTTCATATTGATGGAGAATGTGTTGTATATAGTTCTATACAGAACCAAAAAGGGTTCTTCTACTGTTACAATGTCAAGCTTGTAATGGTTCTAAATAGAACCACTTCCTTTACTAAAGAACCCTTGAAGAACCATCTTTTTAAAGAGTGTATTTTTTCGTAATATCAGTGGAGAACATCAGCACTTCTGTATAATAGAGCTGCTCCAGAATGACAAGAGATAAGTTCTTGTTGTTTTGAGGTGTATTTAGGTTAAGAATGATGTTCTCCTTCTTCTGAAAAGTAGCCGATTCAGAGACACACCTGACACTGGCTGTGTTTACATGCAAAGATTTT